GCGTATCCGTGCGACCGCGCATCCGCGGGATCGCGCCCCGGAATCCAGCCCGCGAGGGTGCGCGGGTACGGCGCTGTTCGCCGCTCGCGGGAGGTGGTCCAGACCTCCCAGGCCAGGCGCGCGCACCGAGCAGCAAGAGTTGGAGCGGCGGGATGTCTGGGGAGGAGGAGGAGGAGGAGGAGGAGGAGGAGGAGGGCGGATGGAGGAGGAGGAGAGGAGGGAGGTGGAGGAGGCAGGGAGGGAGCGGAGAGGAGGCGCGGAGGGGAGGAGGGAGGAGGAGGAGGGGGAAGGCCGGTCTGCGGCGGAGGAGGAGCCGGCTGCGGCTGCGGCTGCGGAGGAGGAGAAGGAGGAGGAGGAGGAGGAGGAGGAGGAGGAGGAGGAGGAGGAGGAGGGGGTCGCCCGCGAGAGGCCGGAGGGCAGCTGCGGCCTGGGCGCCGCGCAGAGGTCGAGCAGGCCGGGCGGGCGGAAGCGGGGGGGGGGGGCAGTTCGAGTGCAGTGGGGACGTTTCACGTGGAAGCACGGATCGCTTGGGGCTGCGGACCCAGACCCCCTCGCGTTGTGACAAAAATCACGACGGGAGGTTTTTCGCTGTTTTCGGCCTCCGGGGGCCCTCGCTGGGCCTCGGGACCGTCAAAAAACGACTCAGGATGAAACGCCGGTTCGGGGAAGGGGTCCAGACCTTTGGGGGTGAAAAAATCACAACGTCGGGGGTCTGGGAAGGGGCCCGGGTTTCCAGACCGCCCTCTAGCTGTATGTGGTGAACTTGCTTGTGGCCCAGGCCCGCCGTGACCAGAAAAGTCCATTTGTTCCTTACTATGCGTTCCTTATGGCAGCACGATGGCAGTTGGGGATCGACTACAGCATTGAATCTACCCCAGACTTGCATGTTTTTGCTCGTCGAATTTGCGAAACAAGCACACATAATGGTCCTAAAATTCTGGAAATGTCGACGCCTCTTTCGTAGGTTCGAGGCAACGCTTCAGTCTGGGGTAAACCAATTGTGTTTCGATCTTTTACTCGAGCAGTAGACTCGGGCCGAACGAAAGGGGGGGGCCAGGGAACGGGGGGGGGGTACAAAATCTGCTGCATGCGGCTTGTTTCGGCCCCGCCGCCGGTCCCATTCCTCAATACATGGGCGCCTCTTCGCGCCGGGAGTCGCTGGGAAAATCAGCCACGTGAGCTGATTCTCTACCCTACCCTTTGCTATCCCTCCGATTTTCAAGCAGTGGCGAAGCGTCCTGGCTAGCCTATAGCCCTACCAAACAATGTTCTAAGAACCTTAAGTGGTTTCCACGAAATGTTCTTAGAACAGTTCTGATTGATACTGTTTTGTTTTCATACATCTGATTTATGTTATAAGAACATTGTTTTGTTATAAGACATGTTTGGGTTCTAAGAACATTTCGTGGTAAGACTATAGGAATGCCGGGACGGTCGGTCCCTGCTCAAGATTTCGTTCCCCCCGATAGACGTGGGGGGATGGGTGGATGACTTCAGGAAGGGGGGCTCCGCGGGACCCCAAGCCGCCACCGCGGGCCCAAGATCGGCGGCGCGCCCGGGGGGGAAGTGAGGAGGGGCGGGCCTTCTCAGCAGGTCGACCAGTCCCCCAGCCTTCCAGATGTTCCCTGGGCCTTCCCCGAAGACTCTCACCACACGTAAGAGTGACCCTTCGCCGGAGTGACCTTTGGTGCGGGCTCATCGGGCTCCCCCCGATCGCCGAGCGCCATGCGATACCTATACGACCACCCTTCGGGTGATAAGGAGGTGAGGGGGGAGGAGGAACCAACGTGTCACTCAGTACATCACTCGATCGATCCCACTATCGATCTCACTATCGATATCACTCGATCGATCTCACTATCAATCTCACTATCGATGCCACAATCGGTCTCACAACCGATCTCATTATCGATCTGATTCAGTCGATCTCACTATCGATATCACTATCGATCTCACATTCCGTTTCACTATCGATCTCACAATCGATCGCACATTCGGTCTCACACTCGGTCTCACTATCGATCTCACTATCGATCTCACCATCGATCCCACAGTCGGTCTCATAATTGATCTCACTATCGACCGCACTATCGATCTCACTATCGATCTCACTATCGATCTCACAATCGATCTTACCATCGACCCCACAATCGATCTCACTATCGATCTCACGATCGATCTCACTATCGATCTCACATTCGGTCTCACTATGGAACTGACGATCGATATCACAATCAATCTCACAATCGATCTCACAATCGGTCTCACTATCGATCTTTCAATCGATCTTATAATTAGTCTCACTATCGATCTCACAGTCGATCTAACTATCGATCTCACAATCGATCTCAACATCGATCTCACTATCGATCCCACTATCGACCTCACATTCGATCTCACAATCGATCTCACTTTCGGTGTCACTATCAATTTCATGATCGATCTCACTATCGATCTCACTATCGATCTCACTATCGATCCAACATTCGGTCTCACATTCGGTCTCACAATCGATCTCACTATCGATCTCACCATCGATCTCACTATCGATCCCACTATCAGACTATGGATCTCACAATATATCTCACTATCGATCTCACTATCGATCTCACATTCGGTCTCACTATCGATCTCAATCGATATCACAATCGATCACACAATCGATCTCACATTCGGTCTCACTATCGATCTCACGATCGGTCTCACTATCGATCTCACTATCGATCTCACTATCGATCTCACTATCGATCTCACGATCGGTCTCACTATCGATCTCACTATCGATCTCACGATCGGTCTCACTATCGATCTCACTATCGATCTCACGACAGGACACCGACGGGACACCGACGGGACAACGGCGGGCAACCGACGGGACAATGTGGGCCACCGCTTGACAAGGCCGGGGGGGGGAAACATTTGTGTTGGCGGACCCCTAGCGACAGCAGAGTGAATTCCTCTCGCCCGCCCACGCAGCTTCGCCTCGCCCGCACGCACGACACGAACACGAAACCACAATCGGTCTCACTATCGATCTTTCAATCGATCTCACAATCGGTCTCACTATCGATCTCACAGTCGATCTAACTATCGATCTCACAGTCGATCTCACAATCGATCTCACTATCGATCCCACTATCGACCTCACATTCGATCTCACAATCGATCTCACTCTCGGTGTCACTATCAATTTCACGATCGATCTCACTATCGATCTCACTATCGATCTCACTATCGATCCAACATTCGGTCTCACATTCGGTCTCACAATCGATCTCACTATCGATCTCACCATCGATCTCACTATCGATCCCACTATCAGACTATGGATCTCACAATATATCTCACTATCGATCTCACTATCGATCTCACATTCGGTCTCACTAGCGATCTCAATCGATATCACAATCGATCTCACAATCGATCTCACATTCGGTTTCACTATCGATCTCACGATCGGTCTCACTATCGATCTCACTATCGATCTCACGATCGGTCTCACAGTCGATCTCACTATCGATCCCACGACAGGACACCGACGGGACACCGACGGGACACCAACGGGACAACGGCGGGCAACCGACGGGACAATGTGGGCCACCGCTTGACAAGGCCGGGGGGGGAAACATTTGTGTTGGCGGACCCGTAGCGACAGCAGAGTGAATTCCTCTCGCCCAGCCACGCAGCTTCGCCTCGCCCGCACGCACGACACGAACACGAAACCGAAACCGATTTCCTGGTGGGGGGGCTCTCCGTTCCACTTCGATCTCACCCCCTCACCTCCGATAAGTGCCCCGCGCCCCTGGGTTTGGCTCCCTCGCGCCCCCGAAAGCTGCGCACCAAAGGTCACTCTTACCCAGGGTCACTCTTACGTCTAGCCGAAAGACACAGGACACTAGCCGGAAGGCCACGGGGCTCCCGAGGATCCCAGAAGCCTTCCGAGAAGGCCTTCTCCCTCTCATCTCGCCCCCTGGCGCGCCGCCCGGAAGAGCTGCAGGAAGGGCGCACGTGGCTTCCTTGCCCGGGCCTGCGGCAGCGAACGAGCCCTGCCCCTGCGGGTACAGTCAAGACGCTGAGATAAGGAACAGGTTGGGTTCGGAAAGGGGCTCGATGTTCCTTAGGTTCCTCCAGTGCTGTTCCTCGTGCCCTCCTGGGGCACGGAGGCGCTCACAGGGCCAAGAAGGGGCTTCGTTCCTTATGTAGCGTTCCTTCTTTCAGCGGCCCGACTGCAATGGACATCACTGCTGGGGCTTTCTTGGCCGCGGGCATCCTTCACAGATCTGTCCGAATCCCAGCCAGGTCTTCAAGAGTCTGACCTGCAGGGGTAGAGAGTTCACATCTAGTTGCCAGGGGAGGGGGAGGAGTGGAAGGGGGAGGGGAGGTGAGGAGGGGGGGGGAGGAGAGGGGATGTAGGGAGAGGGGGGGGGGGGGGGGGGGTGGGGGGGGGGAAGACGGGGGGGGGATCGAAAACTGCACAGGTGGCACGCTTCTCCACCCCTCGTTTGTCCAATCTCGTCGCTGGCTGATGCCGCCAGCCCAGACTATTCCATCGCGGGCGGTTGCCCGCGTGCTCGTTGCCTCTGCGGCGCTGATGGGTGGTGGTAGTCTCCTTCAAGGGCCCAAGAGGTGCAGGAAAGGTGCACGCTTCTCCACCCCACGCCCCCTGAGATCTGACGTTGCAAACAGATACAACATCGCAAAATGATCAAGACCGGGCCCCTGGACACAATCTTTCTGAGTCATTTTTCGAGCCCGATCGATCTGTCAGGGTCCTGGGGCCCGGAAGCGGTAGAAACAGCCCGTTTTGAAAATATGCAACGTTGCGTTAGGTGCGTACGTTTCTGCACCCCACGTTCCTCTGCCCCCGTGAACCCGGACCCCCGACGCCATAACTTGTTCATGGCGCAGGAGCGTCGACCCCCAGAAGTCTCGACCCACTCCCCAGCACCGGTTTTTCGTCCCGAGTCGTTGTTTAACGGTCCCGAGGCCCGGTCAGGGCCCCCAGCATCCGAAGAATTATGGTTCTCATTATGTCTTGAAAAACCCGCGGCCCACCCGCGACCCACCGTCGACCCACCCGCGACCCACCTGCGACCCAACCCGCGACCCACCTACACTGTCTTAACAAAAAATCGGCGCCTGCGGCGGGCTTGTTATATAGCTCGAAAATTTTGCGCCTGCGGCGGGCTTCTTCAGAGCCTCGCAGACTTTAGACGTCCCCGCCCCCCCCTCACTCTTATCCGCAACTGCGGGGTGCTAAGGTACCTTGGCATCGCTCGGACGTGTGCTTTTTTTCTTCGGCCAGGACCATCGAGGAGCATCTTTGATCATTTGGCGAAAAACCACGCACGAAACCAAACACAAGCACAGGGAATGGATGCCTGAGCGATGGCGATGAAATGCACCTCGACCGCAGTCCCCCCGCGCGTGCCAACTTTGAGTTTGGGGGGCAG